AGGAGAATCAAGACTTCGTGTTTGATTCTTCATTAAATAATCAATATTTATAGTCAAATCAATTAGATGATCAAATAATACTCTAAATGAAATTTTTGTATTTTTTTCGAAAAATATGTTTTCATTCTTTAACTATTTTACAAGAACATACGTTTTCATTTTATTTCTTTATTTGTCAACGTTTCAACCATTTTCAAGATTCTGTAATAACCCAGCATAACCCAAATTAATAAAAAAATTATATAATAATTATTTTTCTTAAATATAATAAAAATGTAGAATAAGGACTAAATATTTAACAGCCTGTTTAAAATGAAATATTATAAAGAAAAATAACTAAATTAATTTTTTTTTTTTTTTTACAGAATCTTGAAAATCTTGAAGGCACGAGTGGTCGAAACATTGACAAATAAAGAAATAAAATGAAAACTTATGTTATTGGTGACTTTTTAAATAAAAACTAATTCTTAGTAGAACTTTTTAATAGCCTTATAAAATTAATTATCTGCCCTTTAGGTAATTTAAGTCTACAAATATTATTGTATATCGATAAATGCACATTTCGTAAAATACATTTTGACATAAAGTACATTTTATGTTGGTTTTTTTACGAAATTCTAATATTATTTCTAAAACAAAGTTCTAATAATCCAAAAATTGTTGATTGCATAAAATTTTACTCCTGTGAAATTTAATATTAAGCCCATACAATATGTTTTTTTTTTTTTTTTTTTAAATCTCAAATTTAAAGTAATAAAAAAAATAATACTGATAAAAAGTGAAAATAAATTCTATAAATTGGATTGGAAGCAACGTAAATAAAAATAGGCAGTTCCCCTGGCAGGAATTGGATAAGTGGAGGGTGGATATTCCACAGACTTCCTGCGCTCCTGGTAGCAATTCACCTGTTGGAGGTTCACCTGTTCTTCCCATCCCCCCTCCTACCTGTTCCAAACAGCGGCGGATCGACCGTAGGGGGAAATAAGTGGGAAATTTTCCCTCTTACGATTGGCATGAAAAAAAAAACATGGTTGTTTAAAATATACCGACTACTAGTGAATAAATTATAAATTGTTAAATAAGGAAAAATATAAATATTGATTCAGCTTGTGAGAAACCGATCGACACACCAATCAAAATAATAGATTTCTATGCCTATTTTTTATTATTATTTTTTTTCCGATAGACAGTGTAATATTTCTATCAAATTTCGTGGTCACACAGATAGCCCCTCCCCCATCCAAAAATAAAAAAACTGGCTCTAAATTATTACAACCTGAATAATCCTGGTCCGTCTGAGAAATTTATATTGCTAAATATTTTTTTAGCCACATACACTCATGTCTTGAGTGGAGAATCTGGCCATTGACAGAACTCAAATATATACATGATAATATACATAATTACATATACATAATTAAAGAAAACATAAAATATTCACACTAGGATGAAAAAGAAACATCCCAACCTAAAAGACAGTTAATAAATTTATATTTCAAATTTCTTCCTGATATGATAAGGGATTAATTTTAATTATTAAAAATGCTAATAATGCTATTATTAACAATGCCAATTTATTTTACTAGTGCATAATTTTTACCTTTCTTGATTAATTATTTTTCCCACTTTTTTTGTTTGTCCATTCCTTTTTTTATTTTTTTCTCTACACCCCTACTTCGTCTTTTAGGCTATACGGGGATTTTTCCGGGCCGGGGGAAAGGGCGGGGGATATTACCAGTTAAAAGATATCATCTGGTTGCCGGGCAACGAGTGTTTCGCACACGTGTTAACCCGCTCGGCCATCCCATCCCCATTATTGTTTCCTACTTGTTGCAATATATCTAATTTAGTAATACAAATCCTTAATTTGCAATGTTTTCTTTATTTGGACGTTTCGGAAACATTCTATCACTCTCTTCAGCATCTAGAATTTCCAGAAAAGTCCAAATAAAGAAACACATAAAATTAATGTGTTTAATTTACTAAACTGGAGCTAAGGAAACAAGTGGGGAGAAAATTAACAATCCTAATATTCATGAAAATAAACATGGATACGGATAATAATACATATTCAACTAATAAATCTAATGAAACTTGTAACTTATCTTAAGAGTACATTTATAAGATTTTTACAGCTCTGTAATTCAAAAATGAGATGCTATAACTCAGTATAATTTCATTTTTTTCTAAATTTGTACCGAATTTCAAGAAAAACTGATACGGTTTAAACCCTGGGTTGAGTTAACATCCGATGACCCGGAGTTTATAAAGTTTGTTGTCCTTCAAGAGCTGGAACTAATTTTCCACTTTCATTCCAGAAGGTTCCAGGGGGCATGGATGGAAAGATATCCCTGTAACTGAGCAAGGTCTCGATCATTTTTTTAAACTTTATTTTTCTTTATGATAAACAACCTTATTTTGTTATCTTTTATGAAGTCTTGATATAATTATTATATTTAATCAATAGACGATTAATGTTACACAAAATACTTCATTAGATTTTATTTCATATATAATTTTAATAAAAATGTTATTCCGTTCATATTATAGTGTTTCAGCAATTAATACCGTTTTTAAATATTCTAGATATTATAAATTAAATTGTGTTCTTATTTTCTCTTTATCACAATATCATTGGCGACTTTTTTTCTACCGAAAATAAAATTAAAATAATAAGAAAAACTTTATATAACAAATTGACAGAAAAAAAGCCAACTCATTGTGATAAGGAGAAAATAACTCGATTTAAAATAATAATGTACCAGTTACTGTTGTAGAATGATATACTTAAAAAAAAAGTGTTTTCATCAATTATGAAGATTTTTTTTAAGAAAGTTTAAAAATTGCATTAAATATTGAGACGTTAAATGGGATTAATGAGATCTTTTTATAAAATTTTTATTGAATAAATATAATAATTCATTTTTACACTCACACCTCTCAGAAATACTGCCAACCTCGGAGTACGCTATCGAGAAATACGAAATCCGAATTTAAAATACTGAAGTATAATTTTATCGTTTAAATGCTTAAATAAAATTTTATTCACGAATTTATTTGTTGCAAGCAGAAGCAAAATAAAAGGAAAAACGTGCATGCATACCGTAAACTGTACAATATCATTAAGGTAACATTACTTTATTTATTACAAAAACACAAGGGTAATTTAAATCATTTATTTATTTATTTTTTTTGTATGTGTCTCCAAGACCGCCACCGTAGTCGTATACTGAATTTAAATTATAGCCGAAGAACATTCAGTGACCACTCCTTCATATACCATGAATGTTGTTTAGACAACTTATAATGAACAATGCGTAAACATGGTATTGTTGCATAACATTAATTACTGCATTTAAAGCAATTAAAATGGCATTTAATGTTCCCGGTCTCTTTATCTTAGCCGACAAGCCGTCAGCATAATTACGGTTTGCGCGAACAGCTTGCATATTTTAGAAAGGTCTCCGACCACACGTGAGGTGACCACCTATCAGACCGTTTCAATGAAACTATCGATTGCATTGCGATCGACAGATTTTTTTTTTTCAGAAATATGTACACTAATTTCGGAAGGAAGTAGGATGAACATAGAAACAGAAAATTCAATTAGATACAAATGGATTAAATGCCTATACAAGCATAATTACTAAATTGAAATGTTAATTAAACGATATCTTTAATAGTTCAAGCAGCAGTCTTTTATATTATAAAAGAGAAGAATAATAAAACAATATGTAACCTCCCAACTACTTACTACCATAGAGGCTATAAATCAATTAAAGACTGAACTAGTGTTGCCCAAAATCGGTCTTGGTCTTGCACTTTGCAGTCTCTTAGAAATACACACATGCTTGGGTTGAAACATCGCCAATAATAAAAATCTTAAAATGCCTGACTATTTATCAGTCATTGCACTAATTTCAGATTCCACGGAGGTAAAATTAATCGAAGTACTTAGTAAATTAATTTTATAAAATGTAACTAATTGACTTTTTGCAACAAACATGTGATAAAGTGAAGGGATATGTTGTGTTAAAAGAATGCTTTAGAAGACGATTTAAGTATGAAATTCCACAAGAAGGGAGCACTATTTGCAAAATAAGGGTGGAATCTTGTATGCTTTTATTTTTTTAGAGGTTTAGCAGCCCATTCCGATTTGGAAGGCACCCTATTTTTTATGTCTAATAAGTGAGAGCAAACAATTAATTATATTTAATCTAAAGTTACAAGATAAATCCATAGCTATAGTCGATTACTTCTGTTCCATATAGAAGTAAAAAGAATAATTCAGGATGAGGTAAAGAGTGAAAGATTTTCAGTTCCAAATGAATGGTATAGAAAGGAATGTCCGAAACCCAGACTAGGTGATGCTGCGGAGCCCGAAGATGAATGTAAGGTTACGATTCATCTTTTTAATCGCTAGCGCCCCAGACCGTCTTAATACACCATGCAAGCATACCGCAACTAGATATCAGGTTAAAATGGTAAAGCAGACTGACAAAGCAGATTCAATTTTTCATCTTACCAGTAATAAAATATAGGCTCTTAATTCGTAGATAATTTATGGTTTCTATAATAACACAGAGCCAAATAGAGATGTAGAGAATTTTCAATTAAACTAACGGCCAAGTAGTCGTCGTTAATCTTACTCCTTTATAATCATGATACTATGTTTATTATTTATGAACATAATTTAAAAATTCAAAAGAAATAAGTTGGTATCTTCATTAAGTTAATCTCCACTCAATAGAATATATTAGAGCAATAAGAAGTAGTCGTTAGATTTTATTTATAACTCAATTAAATTAACCTATTTCTTCAGGCTTCGTAGAAATATAAAATTTAAAAAAACATCAATTTCAAATCATCGGATCATATTAAACCTCAAGTTATAGATTAGAATGCCTTGTTATTGACAACAGGATATAGGTAGTCTCTAGTAGACACTAAGGGTTTTTTACATTATAACATTTATTAAAAAGTAACAAAGAACACGCATTAACAAAATGAAATAGTTAGAATTCAATTATACAATAAAACACATGTTGGAGATTAAAATCAGCGTATATTAAAAATATGGAAACATAATAAAACTCTTAATAAAATGCATAATTAACAACACAAGATTTCACTTTTATTCGGAACAGATGTAAGAAGTGAAGTACAGGTTTGGCCGTTGTTCCGATTTCTGAAAAAATGGATGAGCCACACAACTCTCCTTGGCCAATATCAAAAGATGAATACGAATTGAAAGATGTGATAGGCGTCGGTGCGACGGCTGTGGTCCACGCCGCTTATTGCAACCCCAAACGAGAGAAGTGTGCCATCAAAGTGATCAACTTAGAAAAAAGTCACATAAGTTTGGATGAGCTTTACAAAGAAATTCAGGTGATGGCGTCATGCAAACATGAGAACATTGTGACCTATTATACCAGCTTCGTGGTGAAAGAAGAACTTTGGCTAGTACTAGGATTACTGGCAGGTGGGTCACTTCTGGACATCATAAATCATAAGACGAAGAAGACCGATTGCAAGAGCGGTGTCTTCGATGAGGTAACTATTGCAACCGTCTTAAAGGAAGTTCTCAAAGGACTGGAGTACATACACAACAATGGTCAAATTCACAGGGATATCAAGGCAGGTAACATCCTCCTAGGAGATGACGGTTCGGTACAGATAGCTGACTTCGGAGTATCGGGGTTGCTCGCGACTGGTAAAGACGAGTCAGGGGAAAGAGTGAGGTACACATTTGTCGGCACACCTTGCTGGATGGCGCCTGAAGTGTTGGAACAAGACCGTGGATACGACTTCAAGGCAGACATTTGGTCTTTCGGAATAACTGCGATAGAACTAGCCACAGGCACAGCACCTTATTATAAATACCCACCAATGAAGGTAATAATGCTTACCTTACAGAAAGATCCACCGACACTTGAAACAAATGCCGAAGATAAGAACCAATACAGTAAGTACAGCAAAACTTTTAGGAAATTAATAAACGATTGCTTACAGAAGGATCCCTCGAAGAGACCGACAGCAACGGAACTTTTGAAGCACTCATTCTTTAAGAAGGCATTGGATAAGAAGTACCTGCAGCAAACGTTGTTTGATAAAGGCGCCTGTGTGGGTACTGCAATAGATGCCTCTGCTGCACACAGCATAGCAGGTTATCACTACGATACAGAAACTGGAAAGTGGGCCTGGCTGACCAATGTGGAAGGAGAACCTGACAAGACAGAAAGTCCTGAGACGTCAGTTAACGATGCACGAGGCGGAGATGCTTCACCTGAATGCGAAAATTTACCACAAACAAGAAAACTCAAGCTTGTTCTAAGGTTACGGAACAAAGGAAAAGAGTTGAGGGATATTAGTTTCGAGTTTGCTACAGACAAGGACTCATGCGAAGGCATTGTGTCTGACTTGGAAGAACAAGGCTTAGTGGACAGGAGAGATGTGATGTCCATTGTTGCCAACCTGAGCCTGCTCCTCCAAAGTGCTCTGGGTTCGATAACATTCCCACTAGAGTCCGCAGCTGCCCTGGGGGAGGCTACGAGCGAGAAAGCTCTCATCGGCTACGCTAGGATATCTGTAGCAACGGCCGAGCCAGGAGGCCCTGCCACTAATGGAGAACACACTAGTTCTATACTCAGCAAATAGTCCTAACAACAAAGCAACTTGTATAATTTTATAAACCACTTCAACAAATACTTACAAACGTTCCGAATAAAGAGAAACACATGTAACCAGCTAATGTAGTGGTCAGTTATCTTATGCATGTATCACATAAAGTAGTCAATTTAAAACGCTGATAAAAAAATCTGTACACTATCGAAACACATCATGTTCATCTGCAAATCATATATTACAAAAAGATTAAATTAAATCAGCATTTATATATTATCAGGAAAAACATATGGTGCTAACTTACCTAAAAAGCTAACCCACTTAATTTACACTTTAAATTGAATATTACTTTTTGTATTAATATCATTTTATTTTATTTATTAGATATTGGGGTAGCTCAGTAAGACGCTGTCGGAGCTCCTATTCTCATCAATTCAGGGTTGAGCTCGAGTTTAACGTGTAATTATTTCCACTCCTACCCACAGGACGCGATATGCCACCGCGATACGATACCCTTTATGGGTTTCGCAGGTGATTATCGCACCCTGGGTCACTGCAATAAGGCAATAGATAGTAATATAATTATATCTCTGTATCGGCGCCGACAAGTATGTCGTATCACCGAGACTGTGTAGGAGCCTTTATTCTGTCACACCAACCGTGGATCGAATCTGCATACATTTTTTTTTTTTTTTTAGTCTTAACAGGATAAATATCGAAGCAGCTTTATAAAATATTATATTATCAAATTGAGATTAAAGAAATGGGCAATGAAGCCACAAACCTAGTAAATGTACTATTCTTACTTAAACATTCCTTGCCTATGTTCCTTGCGGATACTTGTGTAGTGCATAGTTTCGGTAGACGATTAAATAACTCCTAAGAGACTAGAACAATTTTCATAAAATTATTACACGTAAACTGTTTTAATCGACGAAATACGTCAGAGGCAGACCAAATTCCATTGCTGGAGCCACGAAAACCAGGTCTTATTTTTCGATGATTTTCTTGCAAGAGGAACTACCTACCTGAAAGAGGTGAACAGTAACCCCCTTACGATTATTAAGAAGAAATAATAATTCAATGTAGATTTCTTTTTAGACGAGTCCAATAATAGCTTAAGCGACAAATAAGGAAAACAGATTATTTTTTAATTCTCATACAGAGTTTTTATAAATTTTAATCAAATACAAAATCTTATGATGTTTAATACCTTAGTAATTTTTAATAAAAATAAATAATATGGATTCCTAATAACAAATTTAAAAAAAAATATTTATATCCATGTAGAAATTATATTAAATATATCTATGAAATCATATAATGATTTTATTTTTATATGTTATTAACCTGATGTAACATGTTTAATACATACATTACACTCTTGTTTCTGGGAGATCTGTACTGTACTATTCCATAAAGGCTTCTAATTAATTTAGAGACAATGGCATTCCAAGACCTTTTATTACATATTTTCTGTTGATATTTTTTTTTTCTTCTTTATTTTGAACATGAATACCTACCTACCTATAATAATTCGATTCACACATTTATTTTTTATGTCATATGTATTTCTTTTTTCTCTTTTTAGATAATGTTGTTGTTTTGTGTGTGTGTTATTGTATACAACTTTTAATCGAGTGATATGTAATTAAATATATTTTTTTTTTAATTAGTAGAATAGTACTTCAGTTTCATCAACTTCTTACACACACCGTAATATGGTTTCCACTCCATTGGACGACATGCTCACAAATGTGTGCAGCTCCTATAGAATTGTACGCAATTAGTTTTTGGCAACTCTTTTAAACTAGTCAATTTTAGCCAAGTTAAGAACTGCAAACGAACTTAAAGGTTTGGTTGAATTTGACAGGTAATGAGTTGATGAAAAATTGAACTGCGTTTTAATCAGTTTTAGGATCAATGATTTTCATGTCTAAATAGCATTCCAAACGTTGTAAATAACGTTTCCAAAATCCATTTTATCATCAACCGGTAAGAGAGACATCTCAAACGATGCCGATATCATCTGTTGTATAATTCCAGCTGTTGTGAAACAGATGCGGTTATGGCAGCTAAAACGTGGCGCCAACTACGTATTAATACGAAATTTAAAAAAAAATGTGTTACGAATAATAATACATTATTTAAGACACATGATATAAAAGTAATGATACCCGATAGCCTTCCTCTTCAGAAGATGTCGAATTTACCTAAATCGATCGTTGAAATCTATCTTAAAAATGTTCCAAACGATACAGTAAAATAATCTATTGAAAAAATAAACTAATATTGTAGAAAGTAAATCTCTTAACCCATCTACATGAGAATATTACAAAGTGTCCCAAGGCTAGAATAATAAGAGTAAATAACATAATCCTATTTCACATACGCTGTTTCCATGGTAACCTATCATATTACCTACATACAACTCCTAATGCCTTGTAATTACTATAATTTATAACTATTACAGTAGCAGATTTAGGACTTTATTTTGGGAGAAATTTGGCCCAAAAGATTTTTTTTATGTATTTATAACGACAATTAAGTAAGAAGAAAAAGAAAGAAACTACCTATCTACATGGATTAGAGTTCAAAAAATGGAATGGCTGAAGGATTAGGTATCACGCTGAAGAGCTGAGTTCGAATTCTTATTCATAGAATATTTTTTTTAGGGAGGCGGGGTGGCAGAACGTGATAATAGCACCGCGCGTTGCCTGGCAACCTGATAACCAAAGTTTGGAGACAATAAAATTACGAGTTCGCCTCCCGGTGCCTGGGGGTCTTTCAAATTCCCCGCCCTCACTCCCTGGCCCGGGGAAACCCACGTATAGCCTAAAAAGGCGAGGTAGGAGAGAACAAGAAAACAAAAAAGGATTAGGGTTTAAATAACTATTGATGTCCAAATCAAAATTATATGAAAAATAATACCTTTAGAGATAATTTTTTTAAAAATACATGATTATGTTTAGCAGCTGTATAAGCATTATAATTTAAAAAATAGAATATATTGTGATTATTTAAGTATTCAGCTTAGTTCACTCAAGTAACAAATATGGTCCAATAAAAAAAAATAAAAAAAAAAAATCCACCTGCGCCTATGTTAAAAAAATATGTTTTAAGGCATTTATTGTTCGTTAAATATTCAATTGCAAAACCATAGGGCTACAAAAAAATAAATCTAATAGAGCAATTATCTGCTATCTGGTCCTTTTTTATTTTATTGTTTCTGTAAACGTAATATAAATAAATAGAATGGGAATAGATTCATTACTTCTATGATTCACATCCATCTAGTTCAACAAATGTTTCCTAATAGTTCAGGCTTAACTATTATTTATTTAAGGAAATATAGCCAAACATAATGGGATGCATGCATTATTCAAGATAAAAATAAAGATAATATTGACCAGTTTTTTTTTTTTTTTGTCATTATGAGTCTTCATTGAGTTTTAGTTACAATAGAGAACCTTTGCCAAAAGAAGTAATCAGTTTTTTTGATATCAAAAATAATCTAGAGAAAAACGTAATGGAAAAAGAATTAACCACTCCACTATCTAGAGCTATCTATGCGTTAGTATAAAAACCTAACCACTACAAAAGTCACTAAACATATTTTAAAAAAAGTAAATTAAGCCGTTGGGAAAAAAAAAGAAAAAAAAAACTGATATACGACATTGTATCGGATGTAACAACAGACTACTTCCATTTAGGCCTTTATAATTTAGGTTAGAAATACGCTTCACAATAAAAAAACATTCATCCTACTCCTAAACATCGTTGGAGGAAACGGAAATGGCAGGCAATTAAGACAAGAATGGAGCCAACTTAAAAATCCTTGAAAAGTGACGTTTGACAACGACTTGTGAAAACAAAGTAGGACTTGGTATTGGTAGGAGTAATACAGGAACACGAACCAATGGAAAACAGCCAACAATACAAAAATAATAATATTAAAACACATCAGTCCATAAGGTAACAAAACCTATAATATAATTAAACAATATCTTTGTGAAAAAAAATAAATATTCATATGTGTTACTGTACATACATATATACTCACAGACACACACACACACATACACTTTAACAGGGAGTCCCTTAGAGAGAAACATTTATAGAGATGTTAGTAGACATCAAGAAATACAAAAATGTTTATATAAACAATTGATCCATTTTCCGCAGAAAATTAGGAAATCTAAGTTTTATATTTTTGTAAGTCACATTTTTTGTTGGGTAAGAAGCGATAAATAAAAAAGCATTTAATTTAGGTAATTAACGATTACTCCAAAGTAAACTAAAAAATTTACTTGAAAGTAAAGTAGTTTGTCATTGTTAAAACAATTTCAGCGCCTAAACTTATAGTACAGATGACCCACTTTTAGAAAAGCTTCCTTATGTAATAAGTTTTAAGATACAGTATTGTTTAAGGTTGATATAAACAATTATCAAATAATTCATGATTTTTTTAAAAAACAGAACTTAGCTTGATTTACCCCTCAAAAAATTGTCAACGCTCAAATAATCGCAAGGAAATTCAGAAGAAATAGAATTTCAGGCTTTAAGTAGGTTAATGTAATAATAATTAAAATAATTACGTAAATTTGATAATAATCCTATCTTCACTGGCTTAAATATCAGTGGTGGAGTTGAGGGACTATCGCAGAGATTTCGTGAAATCCTGTTTTTCCATATTTAAGTGGATAGATAAGTCTGGTCTCTCGTCTAATGTATGTTTGTGTTATTTTACTTTACGTTAATTTTCACTTATTTTATATACTTTCTGATTATTATTTAATTGTTATTTTACTGTTCTATTTTGTTTTAACCATTGCACATATTGTCACAGAATGTTATATCACTCAGTAAAATAGTATTTTTAAAAAAAGAAAGATAATACGTCTACTGTGTAGCGTGTTATAATCGAAATGGCTTCAGTTTTTTATTAAATACAAAGGTATTTATTAATGTGTAAAAATTATACACTTCAACTTATTAATGTTTTTTTTTTTTGGAATAAGTAAGATGCAAGCTATTTCATTATATTCACATAAAGCAAACAAATAAAAATGTTTAGGTGAATCGCCGACATACCTTAGAGATCCAGATGCCAGAAGTGAATCAATTATTTCTATTTTTAAACAGATACAGAAAATAATAAGAATTAAAAAAAAAAATAGGAAAGTTTCATTTTTAAAAAAGTTCCCCCTACAATTATAGTCCAAGTAACAGAATACTATAATATTCCTATAAATAAATATAAATGTTGCAAGTATCTTTATGTCAAGTACGTTATCAAATACCCGTGAACAAGATTTAGGATAATGACATAAATTTATCAACGTTTGATTCAGTATTTGCCAATGGGGTCCAAGGACCCCTACACCAGTATTTACTGCAAAAAATTCTCGAATGAGATTTTACGTTTTAATTTTTTTTCAAAAATAATTTTTGTTAACATAATTAATTTCCTATTCTAGGAGAAGAGGTTAAATACCGATCGACTAATATGGGAATGTGCTTTTCATGCAAGGGACAAACCAAAATGTCAGAAAATTAGTACGTAATAATAATGATTAACAATAGGTAGTGGTTATCTAAAAATATTTCTGAAATAAGTCGCATTAGTTTGATATCTTCATAAAAAAATTTAAGTTACAGGGATAACATTTTCCGGATACAAACTTTTAAATAATATAAATAATAATTAATTTATGAACTTCATTCTACATTTAGAAAGTTCATTCCACCTTGCTAACAAATGAGTTTAAAACTTAAATATTACAAAAGAAACATCGTTGGTTCATTGATAATAGTCATTAAGTAACATTTTAATGAATTTGAGATAATACAATTTTAAGTT